TAGGAATTTCCAGTTATTTCACCAGGAAATATCCGGCGATAATTGTATGGAGGTGTTCGAAATTATTTCTGATTGTCGAAGTTTCTTGAAGATGCAAATCATAGTAACGATGTGATTGGTCACACTTCTTTGGGGCGTTCACGTCAGTATTTTTGGAGAAGTTTTCTGCAAATATTCTTCTTTTTTATTCGAACGTACTACGGAAGCGTAGAAGCGCCACATGATATATTTTTTTATAGTTGACAGACACTAACTGTCAACTAGCCTAATTGACAGATATAAGTGGTAAGTATCTTACTTGACAGATACTAAGTGGTAACTAGCATACTTGACAGATACCTAAGTGTTAACTAGCCTACTCGACAGATAAATAGTAAATATTTGATTACACAACAACTAATAACTTTAGTATATTGAGACTTATTATTAGCCGCCTCACCAGCTCACCATGCCATCGGAGACCGAACTTGGATGGAAATTCGAAGATCTTCACTTTTTTTTTTATCGCTTGAAGCGCACGAAAGGGAATCCCTATAATGTTCAAAGAACATCGTGCGTTCCTAGGGAGGATAGGGATAGGAGGTAGGTATTGGATTTTTTTTGAACTTCTGGAGATTATATGTTGTTGGGAATACTTCCACAGGCAATGAATTCCAGAGCTTAGCCGTTCTATGGATGAAGGAGTTTTGATAAAGTGCTGTTCGACATCTTTCGAGGTTGACAACGAAAGGATGTGCTGACTGGGCTTGTCTAGTTCGTCTGACTGGTATTGCTAGTGAAGGGATGATAGCAGAGATTTCCGAAGAACATTTCCCGTGGAAGTATCGATAGAAAAGTGAAAGGTCGCCGACCCTTCTGCGGTGTTCCAATGATGTCAAAGAGTGAGTGAGCGTGGCGTCACCCACCAGGCGGATGGCTCTTCTCTGGATGGAATCTAAGAGCATCAGCGTATATTTTGGTGCTGAACCCCATATGTGGGAACAGTATTCTAGAACAGGCCGTATCTGCGCTTTGTAGATCATGAGGAGCTGTTGAGGTGTAAAGTAGCTTTTCGCACGGAACAAGAATCTGAGTTTTTGTCAAGCAGCTTTTGCGATGGATCTCGCATGATTATCCCATGAAAGATTGTTGCTGATGGAAATACCGAGCATAGATATGGTGGACTTGGTGGGGATGGTGGTGCCAGATATTACAATGTCGGGCATACCTACTGAGTTCCGCCTTTCTAGAGAAAATACAGGCTTGAGTTTTGGTGGCGTTGAATTCAACTAGGTTGTTGGTTCCCCAGGCTGTGATTTCAGCAAGGTCTTCATTGACAGCATTGACCTGCCTGCGCCGTGAGTTCTTAGTTTCCTGGGAAGAAATGGGAATTCTGGAAGAGAACGCAGTATGTAGGGTACTATCATCTGCAAAGCTGTGGATGGGGCAAGTTGTTACTCCCAACAGATCATTGATATGAAGAAGCAATAATAATGTTGGTGCCAAAATTGATCCTTGTGGAACGCCGGAATTAATGCCAATTGTATCAGACGATACACCGTCCACCACCACATGAAGCGATCTGCCTGAAAGAAAACTCGATAAGAGATGGCATAGCTGAGGTGGTAAGCCGTATGATGGTAGTTTGTGGAGGAGTCCTTCGTGCCAAACCCGGTCAAATGCTTTCGATATGTCCAGCGCGACAGCTAGGGATTCCCCGTGTTTTTCTAATGAAGCTTGCCATAAATGGGTGACGTAGAGGCAAGTAGATCTCCAGTAGATCTTCGGTGGCGAAAGCCGTATTGTCTATCATTGATGATTCTTGAGCTTTCCAGATATTTGATAAGCTCAATATTGATGGTTTTCTCCATCACTTTGGAGATTACTGATAACAGGGCAATGGGCCTGTAGTTGTTGGGCAGGTTCTTGTTCCTTTTTTTGGGGATTGGTTGGACTCTAGCTGTCTTCCAGCATGATGGAAAAATACCCGACCTGTAAGAGACGGTGAACAACTTGCAGAGAATCGGTGTTAATTCTGGTGCACATTTTTTGAGGATAATAGGTGGAATTCCATCAGGACCGTTAGCCTTATTCGTTTTGGGATCAAGCAAAATTCGTCTGATAGTGCGTTGACGGAAGACGATTTCGGGCATTCGACTCTCAACGGGTGGAATGTTCGGCGGCACTTTTCCTTGGGAATCTAAAGTAGAGTTTGCTGCGAAAATCTCTGCAAAAATATTTGCTTTCTCCTGCGATGTTGTTGCTGCCGTTACCGTGCTTCGCTCGCTTTAGCAGCTTCTAGCGGTTTTATTCCTGACTTTTTGCGACATGTCATGTTCAGCAGCTGGCAACAATGTAGGAATTAATGTTTACTCTTTACTTGGTATTCTTTTTCTTTTTTTGAGTTTTGACAGAAAATCTAGAAGTGTCTAGAAACATTGAAAATGGTATTGAATAGGATATTGTATGGAATTTATTAACATTATGTTTTCATGATTTTTAGGATGTATTGTCACGACCAGCTGATGAGTTCGAAAATGATCAAAGTGTTGAAACTATGTGGGCAATCAAAGCCTTTGAGCATGCAGAAATTTATTTCAATGTAAGAAGGGGCCTTGGCCTGAACTTGGGTATAAAGGCATTATTGTAAATGTTTTAAAATTTCTAGATCTTGTGCTCAGTAGATCCCAAACATTTAACATTGACTTCAGTAGATGATATCATCTACAAAATATTCAGAGATGAGTTTCCCAAATATGATATTACAGTTATTAATGAGAATGAACTGAAAAGCACCAAAGAAAAAGTAAAGTGGAGACCTTTTTGTGAAAAATTCAAGACACTAGTAGAGGATTATAGTTTTGGAACTCTCCTCCGTGCAGATTCTAGAGGAGATTATAAAGAAGAAAATACAATGTTAGTAACAAGAATACAATTCTATGCAATTGAAATAGCAAGGAATAGAGAAGGAGTAAATGATATTCTCAGAAAAAAATTCCACCCTAGACTATTGGAAGAAGAAACCAGTGTGTAGCTCAATTCAAACAAGAAATATTCATTATTTTTTGCTGGAAATGGTTTGATTCTATAACTTCATCATCAATACTAATACTCAAGGGCAAACCCAAAAGTCTAATATATGAATAACCCATATATATTCAGTATATCCACCTTGAGGACTTACCACCCCTGTGAAAATCATTGATTTCAAAAAGCTCATTTTGTTAGATAGGTTGAAATGTCCATCCAACAAGAGATTGATTTCATTCTTGGACTGTTATCATGGCCCACTGTGATCAATTTCATTGACCCATATTTCAGATAGTACTATTAAGGATTTTTTCATGAAAATTAATTATGAATTCTGAATCAGGATCTCTTGAATTATACCAGAACAATTTTCACCATCATAAAACACAAGGTGTCCCAGAAGATTTATTTTTCTAATAGGTGAGAAAATGTAGTACTGTAGTATTCCTCAAAAAATCAAATTTTTATTTCTTTGAATTGATAATAAAATATTGCCTACTTATTCTTTTCATGTTTCTCTCATAAGTACAAATCTCATATTTGAATCAAAAAAATCAGTACAGATATGTTCAAAGTAGTCCTCAATAATAATTTGTCATTAAATCTTTCCTAAAATATGACTAAAATCAATGAATTCGTTTTATTGGACACCCTAATGTCCCTAATGATGATGAAAATTGGTACAAGTTGTGTTTCAAGTAATCCTGATTCAGAATCCAACATTATTTTTTGTGCCAAAAATAGGTTATAGTACATTCCTAAATATGGGTCAATACAGTTGGTTGCAGTTGGCCATGATAATAGTCCAAGAATAAAATCATCCTCTTTCTGGATCAACATTTCAAATACCTATCCAGCAAAGAAAGTTTTTTGAATTCTGTCAGGTGATAACAATTTTATAGGAAGTGGTAAGTCCTTAAGGCGGACACACTGTATAATATATATTATTAGATATTTGGAATAACTGATCTTCTTCAATATTGCCTTGTATGAGGTGAAGTTGTGAAAAGGAGAACAACTCTTTGAATTTTATACATTATGATGTGTAGCGTGTAGCACACTTGCTGTTTAGTTTACCTAATTTTTCAATAATCAGTTGAATAAAATTGTAAATATTTCTTCCATATACCATCAATAATTCAGATATATATCCACTACAGTGAGAAATGAGCACCAGGTTGAGTCATTCCTTTAGGAATGTTGATTCCAAAAGCAATTCAGTTGAATAGAATATTCAATTTGATATATATTTACCAGAGGGAAAATTGACCATTTATGATATGCATTGATTTTGTATTGATCAAGAATATAGACTTTTTTATATATTTTCATTATCGTGTATTTGTCTTTTTGAATATTTGCCTTAAGAAAAAAATCACTTTCCCTATCTTGCACTAAATTGGATAGAATGAAACAGGTATATCTTGAGTAGGTACCAATTTTACCTACCATATGCATAGACCTCGGCATAGACATACCCTTTTAATTCCTGAAGGAGTATTTTCACTTGCTATTTGCACTCAATTCCACAAGGAACCCATATGAGAATATGAAGTATAAAACACAGAATGTTCCTACAAGATGTGGAAATATCTTAAGAAGTAGTAGTAGGGAAGGGAACCCAGCAAACTTTATTGGATCAAATTCTAAATGGCCAAAATTGTCAGTGGAATGAATAGGTTGGTGATAACAATAAAGAGGAAACCAGAAGACCCCAGCAAATCGGTTCTACTGAATATTCATAAAATGTGACTGATAATTTTTGTTTGCTCCACAAAGCAGATAATTCTGAGATTTTGAGAAAGAAAATTCCAAATATCCCTAAGAAAACGAAAGTACAGGTGTGGGGTGTACCAAACTGTAACACACTCACATGGTAATTTTTCTAGTTTTTTTTTTTTTTCATAAAACTCCAAGTGATTGAATCTTCAATGTCAGGTTTTGGTATCAAATATGATCACTTCAAAGGTGATTGCAATAACTCGTTCTTTAGGCAATGCTGTAATAATAATTTATTACTTGATTTATTATGAAATATTATTAATTATATGTCAAAACATAAAAAATTCAAGGAGTTTCTACAGCAGAAGCAGCAGATTCCTCAGTGTATTTGCCCTTGTCCTTGCCAAGAGCAGCCAAACGTCCTTTCGCCCTGCGGTCAATGATTGTTTTCCTATCTTTGTCCATCTTGAGTTTCACGATCACTACCTGAAATATTGAATAATTTGAAAGAATGCACATGATTGACTGAAACTTTCATAAAACTGCAAGCCAAATCAGTATCATTCTTTTACCAGTACGCAGCAAGATTCCAAAAAGCACTGGATGTCCAGAAAAACTCTGTATATCATCATGCCTATTGGAACAACACTACAGTCTACGAATGGTTTGAATCATCATGAGAGAGAGATATGTCTTACTTTTTGTGGCATATAGAAGGTCAAGCCTTACTTCAAGGGGCGATTATATGGGGGATTCCAAGATGAAAAGTTCATATAAACATAGGTCCTGAAATGCTTCCTTGTCAAGATGATACAAAGTGTCGAAGTTGGGAGTATATTGATTGTTGTTTTTCATGATAACCCTGTATAAGCTTCCATGATAGCAAAATTTAGTCTGATGTTATTGGGCAATCCCATAAGGTGATAAGAAGTTAGGTATGAATTAACTTGTTCCTTGTATAATGACCATTGACCAAGCCATCAGATTTGTTGGGAACTAGAATTCAGTTTAACATTTCAGCAATAGTTACAGGGCGATCGATTCAGCATTTTTTTGCTGGCCGTTTTTTCTTCTGGTGAGTGTATTTCGTGCAATCGCACGTGAATTGGGTATTTCGCGTTCTCGACACACCAAACGTCCGAATTTGACATTTCTAAACTACAACAATAACAAGGTTATTATCACTTATAATTATTGTTGCCTGGCAATTTGACGAAAGAAATGCCTCTGAAAAAATTACGAGTTCGTTGGACGATTATTTTTTTATGGCAGTTTTTTGAGTTGAGTTACCTGATGGCAACAAAATTCGATTAGTGGAAAAGTAAGGGCAAACTTTTTTCGTTGTCATAATGACAAAATCACGCGGCTTATGGGATGTTGTCATAATGACAACATCATGGGGCTTCTGGGATTTTTCATACATGAATTAAATTGTCAGTAGTAATATACCTAGGACATTAACCCGCGAGGAACCTCGCCGATAAAAACAAATCGCGGAGTAGTAATCTACCCCATTGATTTTTATTGAATTTCAGGACTTTGAGACGAAAAAAATCGTTGTCCGATGTGAAGTTGCTCGATTTATAACAATAATAATGATAAAATATACCTCATTTGATCGATTTACTTGAATTGAATGATGAATTTCAATGAATGAATAAATAATATACACATCCCTATTTTATTAGTTTCTCACGTTTTTTTCTCCTGGATAATATAAACATTTTCCTACCTCTGTAGGCTGCTTGTTTTGAGGTTGAATTTCCATTTGAACAGACAGGAATTCAGATATAGAAGATTTCAACTCTCTTTTACATGGGGTATGGATATACCCCAGGAACAATTTACCAACTGTTTACTATAATGTGTGCAACACTAATGAGGAAACATGCAAAGACTCGTAATTTGATATCGCCTGGGGTATTTTCTATACCGCGCGGTCCCTCGCAGATTAATTACAGTTAGTAACAGCTTGAATTGGAAAGCTGAGGGCTGTTACCAAGCTGTGAGCTTGAGAAATTCGTCATAAAATTATAAGGGATTTGTCAATTTCCATCAAAATTTATTTTCAGTAGGAATATCCCTATGAAATTGATAATAGATAATTTTATGACAATCGGAAGCTCATTCCTGAGTAAAAGATACAAGCCTATTTTAATTGAATTTCAAACTTGTAACAGTTTGCATAGAAAATCACTAATGCTATAAAGAAAATAATAATTATATTACTTGAATTATTTTGCAGGTGGGTAAACTTTTTACACAAATATGCTCATGAATTTTTGACAAAAGATGTTTTTTGAAAATTAGATGAGAAAACAACTATGCCATAATATAGATGTTTTTGCTTCTGCTCTTGCTTCAATTTTGATATATTAATATGGAAAAAATACACAAAGGCTTGAAATGGACCTTACTCAAATTTTCTATATTGAATAGATGGATAGATCATTTATAGTTCCAAAATGAAAAAAATACTTCAATCACAGCCTCCTGTATAACTAGCCGTGGTGAGCCTAGTCTGGCAACACTGTTCAAAAGTTCTACCTCCAGCCATTGGTGCTAATATGATATATGGGTTCTGGATGCAACTGAGTGATTGTTTTTAGTTTTCAAAAGTAAATTGATGTGTTATCAATGTGAAATATTGTTGAAAGCCAGTGAAAAGTGTGAGGAATATTCTAGTGATCCAGTTATAAATGAAAGGGTGTTTGTGTTCAAGTCTCATTAAAAATTGTTTTTGAATTGAGGTTATGTTTAATGTTGTCTTATTTTTGCAAGGAAAGTAAGTAATTTCAACCTTTCTCATAAGAAGATGCCAAATAATTGCTGTGTGACAGGGTAAGTCAAATTACACTTTGGAAATGAAATATATTTCAAATTTCCTAAGGATGAACAGCTGCAAAAAGGTGGATATCTTTGATACCTTGTAAAAATTGGTCCCCATCTCAACATTCAGCAATGTGTGCAATTCATTTCGTTAAAACAGACATTATTAGATTTGATACGTTTCCACTTCCAGATGGATCAATTGTAAAAAGTTGGCTAAGAAACCCACAGTTAGTTAAAACAGCAGTTCCTTCTATTTTTCCAAATTTACCAAGTTATCTCAATAAACCTGATACATCATTAAGAATAAATCCTGCTGAAATACGTCAGAAATGATTTGCTGTTCAAAATAAAAAAAATGTTAATTTTGAGAAATCCAACCTTATTCTCAATTATAAGCAGGTAGTTGGAGAATATGCAGAGAAATTGATAGTTGATAGTTGATGGGATTGGAAAGGCAGAAAGTTAAATGTATTTTTATCAATTAGGTTCACAGTCAGATGTATTGAAAATAACTTCCCTGTGATATGAAATCGAGCAGGTGGTCACAACTTACTTCAGAATATTCTAGTAAGATACAGAAACAGCTCAGATCACACAGAATAATCAGACCAAAGAACATAAAATTAACTCATTTGATGAATTAATAGAGAAAAGTTTGATATATCTGAGAAAAGCCCTCATAGCATCTTGCAAAAATAGCTTACCTCATTCCAAAAATCTTGAAAATTTGATTGATCAATTGAAATAAGCACACATTAAAAAAAAATAGATATTCTACTTCTACAATAATCATGTCTTTTATGTTATACACCACTTCACATTGTGTTTATAAACTCATTAGAAATTTTTCCAGGATTTTTATTTGCAGCAACTATCTTTTAACTTGAATATTTCTTCAAGCAATAACTTGTTTGGTTGATGTAAAATGCAAGGTGAAATGGGACTTGCCTGTTGTTCATTGTGTCTCAAGAAATGGAATAAAACCTCAACTCTGACCCATTATTTCTTTCTATTTTTTTCTATAAAGTTCAATTATTTATTTCAGAAACAGAAATTGATGTACAGGTTAGTGTAGTTAGTTAGCATAGATAGTGTTTGCCTATCTCACAGTGGTAGCCAGTCAAGAGTAGACCTTCAGGATCAGGGCAATGCAGTGTTGCATTTCTCTCACCACTGCTTTCCTCTTTAAAGAAGGCTGGGCTTCAATTCAAAAGTACAATAATTCATCATGTTGAAGTTTGATAGTTAACCCATCAGAGTTACAAGCAGTTGGCATGTTAAATACACAGGTACTAAGCAACACAACACATTTCTGATCCTATGTACTTTTCAGTCCTAGAACATAATTGTGAAGCATCAATGACCCTTTCCAATGTTGAATTTAAATGCTCACTTAGAAGAGGTAATGTAAAATAATATTGATTGCAATCACTATCAGAGTCAAGATCAGAGGCAGTCCTTAGCTAGAGTTGATTTCAAGATTTACAATTCTTCAAGTGCTTTATGAGCTCTTTTATGTCACCATCAACTACTTCTTCACAAACATCAACTTACCTTGGATGGGTGGATTCCAACATATACACTTGCACCATTTGCTTTTTCCCTTTGGATTCTCTCAATATAGATGATGAATTTCTTTCTGTACACCTGAATAACTTTACCAACTTGTTGTCCCTTATAATGTCCTCTAACTACCTGTAATTGACATATTATTAGGACGATTTTGGAGAAGCAACAAAGATTTCAATGTATCTACCTGTACTTCATCATCTTTACGGATGGGCATAGTGGAAACATTGTATTTCTGACGAAGTTCCTTAGACAAGGGTGCCGACATAAGCACCCTTCTGATGTGAGATGGGGCGGTGAAATGTCGTTTACGGTTTTTGTTCCTCGACGCAGTCACCAATTTGTTGAACTTCATTTTGTTCTAGCTTGAAGAAATTTGAATTAAAACGTGTTATGATTGAGGTTATATTGAAAATTTTCAGTGGATTGGGCAGATTTTTCAATGTTTTGGATTTAAATAAAATTAATAATAGAAGAATATATCCAGGAAATAGGTTTTATCGAAAAATGCTGATAATTATTAGAATTAAAGAAATATGAATATAATAAAATAGAATTTATACTCACTGCTACACAAACTTGAATGAAAAGAAATGACAGGTGACATGAGACATGGCATGTGACAACTTATACGACTGCCTGCAAACAGTTCCCGCATACTACATCCAATACTCTGGCTTCCAACGCAACCACATCATCGACTGCTGGAAGTGCTAGAAGAATATTTCATTCACATTCCATATCATTGTTTTCAACCATGACGTTATTTCCGTTTGGGTACACAGGGATCATGGATAAATGAAGCCCCCTATGATTGCATGAAATCAATCTTCTTGCATTCTTTCACTTATTTTAGAAACCTCACGAGTATTTCTATCAGCTCCTATTGCAGGAGGAATTCGTTATTCAAATGCGGAATTACGAAGTTTCAAAATGAATACAGAACTATAGTACCTACTTTCAGATCACAATGTAACTACCTCACAATTTCAGGAACCACTCATTAATCTTCTGATATAAGAGCCTCGGAACGGTCTTTATTAGGCCATTCAACTCATCATAATGTTTCGATTATCTGAGTGGAGAATATCGTGAATATGAGGGAGGGCCTCTTCGATGGAATATCATATCACTGTTCCTTGTATATCCTCTGAATAAACATAAGGTATTACGTCTTTTTTGTGTGAATTTTTTGATAGGAGTATTAGCTATTCACCAAAGCTATTTACCTACCAATAATGATTATTACTGTTTTGCTGCAACGTTTCTTTCGTGCTGCAATATTTCTCTCGCCCAGCGAGCCAGGCGAGATTTATTACCTCGATGTGGTGATATGGTTAGACAATGAATTATTCATCGAGTGAGAGAGCCCGGGGTCCTTGCGAGAGACCTTTTTTTTTTTAATTTTCTTTTCTCGAGTAATATTCATTTAGGTCGAGTTAGGTTGAATTTCTTGAAAAAAGTAGTATCCTTTTTCAAGGTGAGTTCCCAATGCAGCGTTTTTTTGATTTACGCGTCACGCTTCATGCAAACTGATTGAATTTGAAAGATATTCAACGCGATGTAGTTAAAATAATCTAACTTTTTGGCGTTGCTGCTCAATGAACTCTGGTGTTGAGGTTATGTTCCAGAAACCTTAATATTCTGTGAATCTCAATCAAATGTAGAAATTTTGAATGCAACTCCATTAAACCTAGGGTCCCTTGATGTGAATTGACGTATTTGTCATCTTAACAGGGTACTGAGAGATCCTCGTCTCCTCTCACTCTAAAGTGTTTGTGAAACAGTTATATAGTTCCATCCTTATTCAATTCTGGGGATAGGTCGCGTGCACGAAGACCGACCCTGGAGGCAAAATATTAAAACACAACCTCATTCTTCTGTGAATTATTGAAACACAACCTCACTTTTTTATTTGGTTACAGAGGAATCAAAAAGTTGAAATAGTTTTTCACAATATTTTGGCATACGAATCGTGTTTCTTGCGTTATTCATTAATTCAAGCATGCCTTCGCATTGTGCCGTTGTACAATGCACAAAAAATGCAGGAAGAGACTAGGGAATATGATTTTGTTGTCATTCCTTATTAAAATTCCTTCTGCCTTCTGCCACTTCTGCAATACAAGCTAATGCTGCTAATAGATTGAAAATGTCTACAACACACACGATCGTCAGCATGTCAGACCAGTCCTACCGATTGATATTGCATGAATCCAATCTTCTTGCATTATTCTAGAAATTTCAGGTATATTTCTATCAGCTGATCCTATTGCAGAAGGAATTCCGATGAGAAATCAGATAAATAACCAAATTTCAAAAATGAAAACTATGTGAGTGACTATAGTAGGTACTTACTTTTGAATCATAATGTACCATCCGGATTTCTTCATCTTCCGCTGCAGTTTTTGTGCATTTTACAACAGCACAATGTGATGGCATTAGCGAATTGATGAATAGCGGAAAAATACGATTCATATGCCAAAATAATTGTGGAAAACTATTTCGATCACTTGTAAACAAATATGTTTTGCCTCCAGGGTCGGTCATCTGACAGTTCTTGCAGATTTTTGACATTTGTTGTTTTTTAGGTTATACTGAGGTCATTGGCGTATCATACGTAATTTCCATATGGAATTCTTGATTCACCTATACACCAAGATATAGATCTTTTAGTTTTAGAGTTTACTACTCCAGCATAATCTTTGCGAGGTAGGGAACATATAAATTGTACTGAAAGCTATTAATTAATATATTTCACCAAAAGAGACTGTGCTTAGACTATGTATACTAGGGTTGATTGAATTGACTATGGATAAATTCTGATTTCAAGCTGAGCAGTAGTTTATCTATGAGCTGAATGAGCTGAGCCTTATGATTGAGGAATAGTGAAAACCTCGATGTGAGTATCTAAACTATTGATGTACTCAAGTCATTCGTGCTAAATATATTATCGGAAATCCAACTCTGAGAAGAATTTATGGAGTGACCAGTGACTAATATCACAATATGTATAAAACTTCGTCAAGGACGAAAAGTAGGCTGATAAAAAGAAATACGTAAAATGTGCAGGAAAATAAAGAAGAGAATATACTTCACCCCTATATTATACATATGATTTTTCCGTCTCCCTTAAATAAAAAGTCATTTTCAAATAATTCATTGATGAAAGTAACAAAGAAGTAGGTATACAGTATAACTTATAGGCATGTTATTTTCACTCTTGCATCCTACATATCTTCAATTTGTGGTAGAGTAATAATTATATAAACTGATGTAAAAAGTGCAGTTTTGAGCAGTGGTTATTTGGATACCACTATAGAAGTGAGATCTGGAGCCAATGCAGTTTTCGTGATATTTTCATAAAAAAACATAATTATACAGAATTAGTACTTGGCTGATTACTGTTATATATTCTGGGACAGGTATGTGGTGTGATTGACAACATCTAGAAGGCAACTCAAAAACTTTTTTTAAACGAGAATTATGTTCTTCTATCCCAGCAAACACAATTATGTAAAATTGACATGTGTTACATAACTGACAATACGTGTTATGTAACTATGTTATGTAAGACTTACATCACTGTTATGGCGAAATGTCCGCCACAAATACTACATGATTATTACGTAACAATTATGTCACTATTTTATATATATTTTATATAATTTCATTGCTATAAATAAGATGTTACGTATGTAACAAACTGACATAAATATTACATAACATTCTCTAGATGTTATGTAAAATTTACATCCCTATTATGTAAAAATGTCAGCTACAAATATGACTCCATTTTAATATAATATTGATGAAACTGCTTGACTAATATCCGAAATGAATATCGGAATTTCACAATAACCTCTTCACTTCACTAACTCACTTCACAGGCATATGCACATATTGATAACTAAGTACAATCATCTCAGTATAGGTGATCCAAACTCTACACTCCATAATATCTATACTGATATTACTGATGATGATATATGGTTATAGAAATGTGCATGAGAGTTGGAAGTGGGCTAGTGTGAAAAGGAAGTTATTTGGCAATTTTTGAGTGTGTGGGAAAATGTAACAGAGACAGATTAGTCATAAAATGCTTGATGGTTTATTATCTCCTATCGTTCTGCCTGATATTATCAGATCATCAACATATACTTTAACTCCTTTTATATTCCCAAATATTTCTTCCATTCTTTCTTGGTAAACTTTACAAGCACTAGATAAGCCATATGGTAATCGAAGAAATCTGTATCTGCCAAAGGGCGTTGCAAAAGTGCATAATTTTATTCTTTATTCATCTAGTTTAATGGCCATTCTACACTGTTGCCTTGTTAATCATGAGCATTAATTACTGTTAGCTGAACGTGCCCTTGGAAAGATGAAAAAGAGGTAAAGAAACGGCTACGATGATAATCGAGATTAAATCCTTGGTTTAACTCAAACGTAGCTGACCTGAACTGAGATTAAATCAATGTGAAAACATTTTCCATTTCACAAATTTTCATATATACCTTAATTAAACTTTCGTATAATCACTTCGCTGCTGACACAATGATTCCCCACACTGTGATACATCATATACTCGAACAGTCACCAATATTCAGCGTTGTTTATTATTTACCATGAAGTCTGTGGACCTGAAATCAGTAGGTAGGTGGCTATAAAAAATAAGAATAAAGTAATTGCAATTTTTGTCACCTTACTATACCATTCGAAGTTTACACATTTTTTATACAATGGAGAATAATAATCGACAGGATATCAGAACTACGAAAATTACGGAAGCGTAGAAGGGTTATCAAAAATAAAAGGAATTATTGCAACTTGTAACGTGCAGCAATTCAATTACTGCAACTTACAACTCGCAATAATTCAAAATACTGCAACATACAACTTGCAGTAATTCGAATCACTGCAACATATAACTAGCACTAATTCGAAATAATGCAACATAAAACTAGCCGTAATTCAAATCACTGCAACTTACAACTTGCAGTAACTAAAGCACAAGACAGGCTGAGAAGAAGATTAACTGAGGTCAACTCTAAAGGTCGCCGTACATTATGCTATTTACCAGCAAGTTCGATGCAATGCAATTTTGAATCGAACAATGCGCATGCGTCTATGATATTTCACAGCAAGTTTCATGCAAGTTTCGTAATAGAACCAGTCCTTTTTTTCCTGCAATTTCAAGGCAAGTTTAGTAAAATTTTTGGTAAAACTGCATTTAGCATGCGATGGGTTTTTTTTCGAAAATTTGTTTTGGTACTCACGTATTTTTGTCTGAAAAACACGAATTTGATAATCAAAATGTGAACAAATAATTATTTATCAAGATATTTCACTATGAAGTTACAAATTTCACCTACTTTTCCGCCTGTCTTCTGGATTGAATTTAAAACAATTTACCCTTCTTTTTCCATCAATGGACAATTTATATATATCACAATGTAAGCCACATTTTTTTTCATTTATTGAGTCCACTAGAAATATGATTTTCTTGTGATTTATCCTAATTTAGTGAAAAGAAGGAAGAATATCATTTGAAATAATGGCGTGTGTAATGTCATTCAAAAGCAATCTATTGACATTTGACATCTCGTATTTGGATTGCCTATGGATTAAATGGCCGCCATCTGGTATGCTTGCTCACTAAATAGGAAAAACTCACCATAAAAATCATATTTCCTGTTGAATTTTCTTTATAAAAATATGTCAGTGAAGTACATCATGAGTATACAAAGTGTCCAATGACAAAATAAGAAGAGCAAGTACCTGTAAATGCATCCAACGCAAGGGGAAAAAGGGGTCGAAATTTCGAACTTTTTTTCGAAATATCTCGATAAATAGTGGTTTGTTCACATTTTCATTATCAAATTCGTGTTTTTCAGACAAAAATACGTAAGTACCAAAAAAAATTTCGAAAAAAAACCCATCGCATGCTAAATGCAGTTTTACCAAATTTTCAGTAATATTCATCGTAGCATCTTGATAAAATACTAATTTCCTCCATAACGTGGCCTGAAACACCAAATAACCTCAAAAAGTACATTGAAGGCTCAAAAAACCTGAAAATAGTGAATATGAACAAGACGGCGACTCGCTATAAATTGAGAAAATTGCGAGAAAATTGCATTGCCTCAAACTTGCCAAGAAATAGCATAATGTACAACTACTCTGTTAACTTGAATACCAGCTAGATTTTATTACACCGTATTGAAGTTTACCATCAAAAGCTTGGATTGCATCCACCTTGTTTTGATATTTTTATACCTTTACAGGGACAATTACATAGGTACCGTAGAATGGGGTGACTTGATAAGATTTTTGACACACTTCCATAGATTGCGACCTTACCATGCAACTTTCAACCAAACTAAAAATAGTCACCAACTCTTTCGACCCTAAAGAACAGAACGATACATTGATCCACCTTTATTGAAACCGTTTCTATATAGTGTAGTTTTCGAAAAAAAAAATGTCAAACGTCATATTTCAAGTCACCCCAATATGGGGTGACTTGAAATATGACTTCTTATCAACGATTATTTCAAGTAGGATGGTCTAGGTGGTGACATGAAATGAAAATTAAATAAAAAATATATAGAAATCATCAATTTCATAAAAAAACACTGTGTTTTAGAACAAATATTTTTTAGCAAAATACAAAAAAGATAAAAAACTACAAAAATAAACAAAAAATCATTAGACTGAAAGACTAGTTTAGCTTCTTCCGTTGACATGCGACGTTGCCACTACTTCAAAATTTTCACTGCATTTTATTTCAAGTCACCACACGATTTCAAGTCACCCCATTCTACGGTACCTAATAGAATGGATCAGGATGAGTTGGTTCAATTTTTTGGCGTCGTTTTGCATTGGAGCATGTCTCGTCTCAGAGGCAGAGACCCAGAGAGCAGAGACTGTGCGTGAAACGCACGGTTAATTCTCTACGACTTTTGTCACCTTATTTTCTGTTCTGTGTCTGTGTTGACCTGCCAAAACCCGACGAGGCTTTTCAAGGCCAATACTGGTTAGAAGAGGGTTAGAATTACTGTGAGTTGTAAGTTGCAGTGATTCGAATTGCTGCTAGTTGTATGTTGCATTATTTCGAATTACTGCTAGTTATAAGGTGCAGTGATTCAAATTACTGCAAGTTGCATGTTGCAGTATTTCAAATTACTGCAAGTTGTGAGTTGCAGTAATTCAATTACTGCGAGTTGTATGTTGCAGTATTTTGAATTATTGCGAGTTGTAAGTTGCAGTAATTGAATTACTGCACGTTACAAGTTGCAATAATCAGATTTTTTTATTTTCGATGACCCTTTTACTCTTTCGTAGAAAATTCAGGATGAACTAACTTATTTCTCGACTACTCTTGATCACTAACTTAGCAGCAGCCGGCAGCGTCAGCGCCTGACACCAGCGACAGTCTCCTGCCGCGATAAACTCGTCTGCAACACTGTAGCATAGCAACGCGACAACGCGACATCAATGCAAAAACTATTCTATCCAACTTGGCAACAGTACAACTCAACAGTCAACAGTGTCAACACTAAACAACCATTCTATGACTTCTATGAATCTATGATGAATGTATAATCAAAGAATATAGGCACATAGGTAACATAGGTTAGTCACCTAGCACTAGCAAAGTAGCGAATAGCGAAGAATATAAATAGAAAGCAAAAAGCAACTTTTTTTGTTAATTCAAAAATACGAACCCGTAGTTCTAATGAAAAATAGCAATGCTGAAATCAATAACCCTTGTATCAAAGAACAAGAACTAACGTACAAATGTTTTAATGACCATAATTTTGATAAAGCAGCATGTCAACTTGAGATTCATAATTACAAAGTTTGCAAAAGTTTTTGGGTGAGTATGTGTATCATATTTTATATGATCTATGATATTGAGTTGTGACTGTAAGTTCTTTCACCCCTTCTGATTTATATCACTTCCAATGTAAATTATGGATCACCTACATTGGTTATCTATGATATTATCACAAGTCCTACATCAACTTTCAACATTGCATGATATGGACCTAAATTTTGACCCATTTCAAAGAGAAAATCACAATTGTCTTAGCCTCTGAGCATTGATCTACCTCCAAGGGAGAAATGAAATTCATTAAATTAATTGTAATATAACCTACCTAAAGGACTGCTTCCTTTCCATTTATGGCATTCTGTATGATTCTGTATATCTGTAAACACATGAATATTCTATATGTACCTCAAAAGTACTTTCATTTCATTTGTAGCATTCTGTTAAACAACAAAGGATAAAGGATGGATTGAGACCCATACTTCCACCAGTAGAAGACAGAGAAAGTATAAAGCAAGAATACTTTTCCAAGCATCATAATTGAGCTTTAGGTACATATTATATTTTATGAATTGTAACAAAATTGATGGTGAATACATTTTAAGATGATTTTGTTTTCATGATCTGATCTACTATACCTATAGGTTTAGGTAGATACTTATATTCTAATTTATTTTTATGAAATTAACTGACATTCATTTAATTTTCACTTTTTTACTCACCTACAATTGACATGACTTGGGTAAGCTATATACAGATGTGGATACCTATTTCAGGAAGTAAGTTTTTTTTATTATCTCTTGTTTGAAGAACATCCTGCCTACCTAAGGAGGATATAGGACATAGGAGATAGGTGTTAGCTAACAACTCTAGATATTTCTTTGACAAATTCCTGACTGACTACTACATCTACTGAGTGTCTCTCTAACAGCTCCCTTTTATAAAATTTCCTAGCTCATAATCTTGCAGATTCTTTGGTTACCGACTTTCTCTTCTTCCCCTCTGACATCTGCCTTCCTCTGAACTAATTCCAACTATGTCATCATTAGTCTCTCCATTTTTCTTGGGAATGGATAAATCCTCGTGTTTAGGTACCTGTTCAGCTACCTATTCCACTCTTGAATATAATAATACTGAAGAGGTTCATCACATTGCGATTTGTTAATGAAGAATCATCCAAATCGAACAAAATATGCAAAGGAATATCTGACAGATGCGGATTCCAATTTCATGTTTCCTGTATATTTGGATTTGATTTGATTTGTATGTGCTCTAATACCCAGCGAGCACAAACATCCCTGGTATGTTTTGACATGTTTTGAAAATGTTGGCATGAAGATGTTATTTTGAGACGTAACCCAGATAACACAGGATATCCTATGGATATCCTTCTCAAGTCCATTTCAGGTCGGGATATCCTGGGACATGAAATGGATATCCATAGGATATCCGTCAGAGGATATCGAATGGATATTTTGATGCGGATCACCTATGGACGTCCATAAGATGTTCGTTTAGCGAACAAAAATTGTTAATTGAGAATGGTTCAAAACAATACGAACCATCACAAATATCACATGTTTATTAAAAATTCAAAGGTAGTTTTCCATCATATAACTATTGTTATGTAGGTATAATATGTTTATAGCCACAATTAAGATATCCGATGCAAATATGAATTCATATAAATAACAACACCACAGTTTGGAATTTTTCTCTGTTGTTCAATGTTTTCGTACAAAAATATACAATCACTCGAAAATAGCTCTCATATATTTACTTTTTTGTGGTCTTCAGATGGACATCCATGAGATATTCATCCATGGATTAATAGCGGATATCCATCAGAAGATATCTTATGGATAGCCATAAGATATCCAAAGAAAACATAAAATCATATTTATGTCAAAATAACTTTTGTTCTTCAACATTTTCGCACAAAAATATGATTTTTCAGAAATAACTTGCATCTCCATTTTTTTCCTTGGGATTGAGATGGAGATCCATAAGAAGATATATTCGCATCCCTGAATTCAAAACTGGGTAGGTATTTTCCCAATGGATAGTAATGAAATATTCTGAAGCAATAAAATATAAATCAATATGGCATTCGCGTGAATGACAAATTTTCCAAAAGAAAGATGGAAAAATCCTCGGAAAAATCTAAGTGAATCTAATTCTTGAATTCACCTTAACAGCATTTCGGAAAATAGCTTCATTGTTGCGCTAGGGATAACGCGATTCAAATCCGGCCACCGCCTCGCATCCTCTATTTATCTCTCAAAAGATTGAATTCAATTCGAATTAACCTCCATGGCTAGAATCGTTCTGATTGGTCTAAAAATGCATCCATGTCGAAAGTCATGGTAAATTGAATTCTTTCATGAGGTATGAGCTAAAGCTTAAGGTGGTTCACTCCTATAACTTTTTCATCAACGTCAATTGGGGTCATGAATTAATTATAGTTCATTTTATATTATTCGACATATCTACTTGCTTTACCGCACTTTTGGTTTAACCGAGGATGGCATTTTCAAACAGGACACCCTGTATTTTATTCCATAATCGGATAAGGATTATCATAACGAATTCAACGATACTGTGCACTGAGAGAACAGTTTATTAACAATAAAGAAATTTTATTTATTGTTAACGAATGACATTGTTGAATATGGACTAACTAACATGATTTCATCACAAACTAATGGTATTTTAAAAAATTACAAACGAATATACAGGTTAATATCAAGTTATAATAATCTTGATCTCATGAAACATAATTATATTGAATATTAACAAATATCACTTTGTGGACACTATACCCCATTTTGCATTAAAATAGATTTGTTTATAATGATGTAACGTTACTTTGAATTCAATCAACGTTTTCTTAATGCAATCGACTGTCACTTATATGTTAAGTTATCTATATTAAAACTTAATAGACTGCGTTTTAATTTTTGCTTTTTCAGTGTTGTACGAAAAGGAGGCATTGTTCCAATAAAGAAGCATTACTTATAGCATAAGGAATCATTTTGTTATACATAAGTTATGCTTCGTCAATATATAATATATTGTTTGGTTATTGATAGTTAATATTTTGAGTCGATGATCGATGGTTCCAATTGTTTTTTCCTAACAGAAAGAATAAAGAGTCTCTGAGAAAAAATTTATTCAAGCAAAAGTTTACAGTATAGTTACATCACATATATTTTGATATCAAAACATCTGAATAAAAAGAGCTAAAATCAGACCAGAACTCCAGGTGTATCGAGCATCCACAAAATTGATAGGAATGATCTGTAACATAAAAATAAACAAGTTCTTGATAGAGATAATATATCTTGTCCCATTTAATAATCAGTACGGTATTTTTTCATCTCTTGGAGCGCACGAAAGGATGTTGAAATTGCATTTAATCATTCAAAATGATTGTAAAGTATAAGAAAATAAAAAACTATCAGGTTTTTCAAGGTCAACGATGTTCATTAGGTCGGAAAGTCATGATTTTTCATCTGATGCATCAATTTCGAAGCACTTGGACGGATTGAAATGGATGAGATACAAAAATTTTGGCATGTTTATGGATATCTCAACAGTTGTCGAATACTGATTGACAATAACACAGGCATGTTATTAACTATTAACAAATATTGGTTACTATCTAATTAATTTCATATTAGAGCCTTGATTCTTCAATCAAGGATTTTGTGGATTTGCATCCATTCTTATAAATCTATTCACTTATATGAATTTGCACTTGTCATCTCCTCACAATTGATCTGTACAATCATCATCCCATGTACAGGAAGATCAACCATGTTACCTTGCGGAATCTTCTAACAAAATTTCCTAGATCCCACCCTCTCAGTGTTTCCTCCATCTTGGAAGTCTATAGAACAAGCTTTAGAGAAAATGTATCAGCATGCCTAATAGTTATCAAATTGGTGAGAATTAGAGTCAGACGATGAGAAATATATAGGAATTCAATTAATAATATCACTTGATGGAGAAATAAATGCTAGTATGATTTATTCACCATGCAGACTCGCTATTGTGTCTTAGAAATTGAAAACAATATGATAAAAACTCACCAGCCACTTCGTGTAATACCTATGCTCCAGCACAAACTGATGAAACACAAATTCACATTCAACAGTGCACACCACAATTTTCTGTGTTAGCAATTGATATTTGATTATTAGGCCACTCCAAGCGTCCTTTGCAGTACATGTTGATTCAGACTATCTACTGCATTCCAACCTCGAGCATGCGCCGGAGAGAATATCACTACGTCATGGGAAGGTCAATAATTGTATAACGAATAATTTGTTTTTCTCAAGAACAATTTCTTATTATTTAAGCATTTAAACTGTGTAGAGAATTTGTTACCAGTTAATAAATGGTAATTCGAGAGTAAGATTCCATAAAGTTTGGATATAACGAACAGGTTCGTGACAAACTCATGGAAGTTACTCCTAAAAATATATGTTAATATTGAAAGAATCAGCTTCTAACGAATCCTTTGTTTTCGGTCAACGATTCTTTTACAAATTACATGATAGTATTTAATAAGGTATATTGATGACAAGAAGATGGCGTTAATATTCAACGAAGCATACTCAAACAAATCAATTTATTCATCATAACAAAACCTTTCCCTCAGTGTGTTTGATAGGATTTCTACAAACGATTAGAAAGATATTCACATTTCCATATCCTCAATGAGCATATGAAAACTTCGAATGCCATATCTTCGTAATCGTTTGAAATAACCCTATCCAATCCGGTACCGTTGAATTCGTTATAATAGTTCCTAATTCATTATGGAATAATATACATGGTGTTCTATATTGTTAAGGATATTTAGTAAATATCCCTGAAAAATATCTCATGGATATTTGTGAACAATATCTTATGGATATCCCTGAAAAATGTCTCATGGATATTTGTGAACAATAGATAGATAGATAGATAGATACTTTTATTGATCTCTTTTGATTATTTACATAACATGAGACAGGTCCTTATACTAGTTGTAAGTACAGATATGCAATATAGGCAATAAAAATGATGAAATATAATATTTAAAAAAAAAGTAAAAAAGTAAAAACACGTTTTGGACTAGGACTAACAAGATATGTATATATATATATATGTACATGAGGATTATGCAGTATAAAAAAGATGACAGTGTTAATTATTTAATTGGACATATTCGTCAAGACAGTAAAATGCATGGTGTAATAGATATTTCTTTAGGTGCGCTTTGAAAATGTTGGTACCCTGCAATGATTTCAGGTTTGGAGGTAGCATGTTGAAGAAATAGCCTCCAGCATAAAGAGGAGATTTTCTATGCTGCATTCTTTTGATTTGATGAAGACGAAAATCGGCACGTCTTCTTGTAGGGTATTCATGAAATTCGCCGTTTCTATCTAGTTTTCCTAAATTATTGTGTGTGTATAGCAATAATTTGTATAGATAAATTGAAGTGAGTGTTAAAATGCCGCTTTCAATAAATGTATCTTTACATGACTCCCTATGGTCTAGGTCAAACAATAGCCTTATGAATCTCTTTTGCGAAATGAATGCCCTAGAAGCTTCTGTTGCCCTGCCCC